AAAAAAGACAATAGTAAAAAAAAAAGGTTACAAAAATAAGGTTAATGATTTAGTGACATAAAAATATATTATTTATTATAATATTATATGGGGTCAGCTCACGGACTTTCAAGTCAAGTCTCATTAAATTAGGCATGGGCTTGTTTGTTAATTAAACAATTTTTTTTCCAAAGCTCGAGCCCATTCTATTTATTAAACAAACCAAACCAAACCACTTAAAGCGTTCAATTCAATTTATTAAACTGTTCTATTCAATTGAGATAAGTTATCTCCGGTGAGCCCAAAACGATGTCGTTTTGGAGCAAAAATAAAGGTGTTTTTGTAATTCTAATATATTGCAGGATTATATTAGTCTTCATCATTATAATTTTTTAATTTTATAACGCAAAATGACGTCGTTTTGAGCTCACTGGAGATAAAATTTTATCTCCAGTGACTAGGGGTGTTCATCAACCGATCCAAACCGATTCAAACCGCGGTAACCGAACCGAAAAACCGATAACCGAATAAACCGAAAATCGAAAAACCAAAAACCGATTAAAAACCGCAAATTTTAATTGGATTGGATCGGTTTTTGGATGGGTTGATAAAAACCGATCCAATATATTAATTCCTCTCTACCTACTTTGGTCTTTACCTAATCATAGCCTAAAAATTTCTAAACTCATTAACCCATCAACTAAACCCAAGAAAAAATCTAGTCACATCTCATCAATAAAATTTTATCTTTGTAGAGCTTCATATTTCATTTCCAAAAAAAAAAAAAACTATATTATAGTTTATTAATGCTTTTGTATTTCAAAAAAAATAAATTTACAAAGCCAATATATACAAAAGATGTTATTTGCACAATAATCATGAAATAAATTTTAAGATTTTCAAAAAATCGAAAACCGATCCAATCCAAACCGAAAAAAATTGGATTGGATCGGATCGGATTTGAAAAAAAATCAAAACCGAATGGATAATTATATGATCAAACCGAAGGAATTGGATCGGATGATTTTTGCTTCCAAAACCGATCCAATCCAAACCGCGAACACCCCTACTAGTGACTGAAAAAATACTTTTCCATAAATATATATAGGGAAAAACTATTCTCATGTTACATGAGATGATTTTTTCTTCCTACACACCATTTGATAACTGTGCAACCTTTTTCTTTTATTTTTTATTTTTTCAGATGGTGGAACCCACAAATTTATCTCGATGACATGAGAAAACTTATCTCCTTTAACATGAGATTAATAAAATATATATATGGAATTTATTAATCTCCTTTAATAAAAAATAGCTTGTATCATGCCATAGAAACAAATTATGTAGGTCCCATTATTTTTTAAAAATAAAAAAGAATGGCACAATTTTTTATGCCTTACTAACATAAGATAATTGTTTCCTATATAAAAGAAGACAATTTAAACTCTATATATAAAGGGTTTAAGTTTTCTTATGTTGTATGTAGGATTGTAGGAGAGAAAAAAAGTAGAGAGAAGTTAAATGTGGGTCCCATATTTTATATTAAAAAGAAAAGAAAAATTAATTGACACGGAAAATGAATTTGTGTAGGAAAATAATGTAATCTCATGTGGCATGAGAGTATTATTTCCCATATATAAATGTTACTTTTACATAAATTCAAACACAGGTTTGATTAATATTTCATATTTTCGAAAATATTTTCTAAAGTTTAAACGTGAAAGAAAAAAGTAAAAAGTGAGCGTAGAGTTAATAGTTGATTAAAGAATAATTTGTACTCCCCATGTCATGGGAAAACGCATACCTACTCCTTACCTGGCGAATAAAAATCAAACAAAGCATGAGAATATCACTTTTTTAGGAATCAATATGTTTATTTTTTTTTATTTTTTTTAAGGCTCGTACCAAACATCAAAATGCCATATTCATAACTTTACTTTCTCATATTTAACTTAACAATTCTTTTTAAAAAATACACTTTATTAAGGAACAATATAATATCATTTTATATATATATATTCATCTGATTATATTATCTTTTGAGTTGAATTGATTTTTTACATAATAATTTTTATGATAAAAAATTGTCTAGAATTGGATCCTTGCCAATATAATTTTTCCAATGAAAATAAAAAGAAGTTTAAAAATTGATATTAAAAAAAAAGTTAAAAATCAAGCACAAGATAAAAAAATAAAAGAAAGAAATGAGCATTTGTATCATCCATGCTTCAAAGGTCAATTTTAGTTTTATTTTTATTTTTTTGTGAGAGAATGTGTTAAGGAATAATAGATAATAATATATACACCTTCATCTAACACCTTAATATTTTGGATTAAATTGATCTTTTATATCCCTTAACAAATTAGAAAAAAAAAATAGAATCAAAGCTTAATTACACTTTTAGTCCGTGTGCAATTTTGATCCATCAATAATTTTTTGAGTAAATACCCTTTTCGGTCATTAACAAATTTTACGATGCCTCTTTAGTCCCTAACAAATAAAAAGGCTATTCGTGGTCCATAAAAAATTCAAAGTGGATCCATTTTAATCCTTTTGAAGGATTAATATGAGTCTTTTTTGAATTTGTGAGGGACCATAATTTCAACTAAATAGCTCCATTTTGAATTTGCCGAGGACAAAAAATGGTATTTATTCTAATTTTCTTTGTTATAATCAAATCTCAACTCCAACTTCTTTCGTTGGTTCAATTACTAACAAATGTTAGTAACATCTAAATGAATTTATTAATGACTTTAATCTATTTAAATCCTTGGATATCATCATACTAAATAAGGAATGACATATTTAATTAAATAATATAATGTATTTAAACATATTGAAATAACTAATAACCATTAAAATACTTTACTAAGTAATGCACATGTCCCTATAAATCGTTTGCTGTTGATATAAAACCTAATTTGTGTAATTAGAACATTTAAAAATTTAAATTGTAAAAATTGATTTAAATGTTAACATCAAACGTTAATCATAATAAAAGAAGCTTAAGACCAAATTCGAAGTCAACACATAGTGGAATGAGAAGATTAAGGGACGTTTAGTAGAGAATAATTTTTTTTATTCTTGAGAATCACGATTTCTAAATATGCTGGGAAAATGAGTTTTCCAAAAATATTACTAAAAATCTCTTTATGGAAATGTGGGCTGATTTTATAAAACTACCTTTTGATGACTTTTTGAAAATTTTCTAATATACCACAAAAGGGTCAAAATGCATAATTGGAGATCAAACCCAAATTTTCCTAACGAATTTGACTGTTCTCAAACCAGTTTCATACTCAAACCAGAGCAACCCAAATAGTCTTTTGTTGGAGATCAAACCCAAATTTCTCAAACGAATTTGACCGTTCTCAAACCAGTTTCGTTCTCAAACCAGAGCAACCCAAATCGTCTTCCCTTGGAGATCAAACCCAAATTTCTCAAACAAATTTGACCGTTCTCACACCAGTTTTGTTCTCAAACCATTTTCGTTCTCAAAGCAGAGCAACCCCAAATCGTCTTTAGCAACCAAGTTATTACCATTTGCAGTAACCATGAAATCGTCTTTAGTAGAGGTCATGGTTGTCGATTCAATATCGGAACTGTACGATCATGGCGTTGGGGTCACTACAGCGAAGTGACGTGAAACCCAGTAAAGGCATCGTGAAAAGGAAGAGAGGATCTCATAATTTTGTGAAACAAAATATCACGGCTAAGGCTTTAACAAGAGTGGATATTTTAGTTATAAAAATATTAAAGCATGATTATTTATATCCTATAAATTATGTAAGATTTTTTCACCGGGTGAAAATCCAAGAATACCTTACAAGATTTTTCCACCAGGTGAAAATCCAAAAATACCAAACACTTGGTAGTATTATTTCATGAGATTTTTATTCACAATTTTAATTTCCAAGCATGATATTTTTCCAGAAACTTTTTAAGAAAATTTGTATGAAACATAAATAACTAGGATTCCCATTTGAAAATTTAAAATTTATCCTGCTACTAAACGGGCCCTAAATAAGTGTCAAGATTCAAGAAACATGCGTCATAAAAGGTGTAAACACATTGAAACACCAAAAAGGAGTTCGAGCCCATGCTTTAAATTAGGGAGGTAAATGATAAAGAAATTTTAAGTAGGAAGATAAATGATTAAAAATTTCAGAGAAGAGATTAAATGATTTTGAGAAAACTTGTAATAATTTTTTTGAAGTTTTCCCTTAAATTAAAGACAAAAAAAGCACGTTCTTTGGCTTCCACTCAAACCGTTTTGAAAAGTAAATTTTTGGATACTCTTAGGGCTCATTTGGTGGACATGATAGGATAAAAGTAAGATATTACGGGCTGATAAGGGTAGGATATGATATGAGGCTGATAAGCCTATATTATGTCCTATGTTTGATGAGCACCTGATAAGATTATGTAGAAGGAGAAAAGAGAAAGAAAAAATAAAATAAAATATAATAAATACAAATATATTGGGTAGTATGAGAATACATTAGGTAGCGTGGAGATATATTGGGTATCCAATATTAGTATCCTATCGTATTGAATCTTAACCCAACTCCCCCCATAGGATAAAAAATCAAGTATTGAATAAGATAAAATGAGACAATAAGATAAGCTAATCATATCCTAGTGACCCACCAAACAAGAGATAAAAATAAAATATGATAAGTTATCATATCTTATATTCTTTATCAGGTGCTCCAAACATGCCCTTATAGTCCATACTAAGATTAAAAATAAGCAAACTCACTTGGCATTAAAATATAGAAATGAATAGAATCAAAAAATAACATTAATCATAGTTTAGTAAATTTAGTAGATATAAAACTATGCCCACTTTTAGAAAAATATTGAAAATTAACCCCATATTGAGATTCAAAATTAGGTAAAAAAACAACCCAATATGATTTTGCCAAACATCATTTTTGCATACTAAAACTCAGTTTGCAATCGCTAGTTTGGGCGTGCAAACTAAAATCCAAACATGCTAAGAATTGTTAACAATTTTGCACACCAATCCTTTTAGTAGTTGAAGCTAACCATTTCTTTAAAAGTCGCAAACTATCGAACATGGATGTTCATAATACAATCGCACAGTTCAAAGTTCTTTTTCTTTTCCCAATATACAATCGCAGCGTGAAATTAATCACATCATCCCAGTATTAAAAATAGTTCTTCAATTTGATTGATAATCAGATAACCATGCACAAGGTACAGCAACAATTCCAGTACACGTTTATGTTGCAGTTTTCTTCAGCGCGCCTCGTACTGGACAACTGCATAAAAAACAGAAAAAGAGTTTGAGCATTGTATATAAATTGCATGATGTACAGAGTGCATCAGAAATGAAACCACTACTTTAAGCAGAAGATTGAAAGTCACAGTTCAACAGGGCGCTCTCAAAAGAATCCAGTAAATAATTAATTTTCAGTGACCTAGGCACAAAAAAGATAAGTCACATTCAACATGCATACCATATGTGCCAGAATCATCCATTAAACTTCATATTTCCTTTGCTAACATAACTAGTAACTAGAACCAGGGGCTCCGCTTTCAATTCACACTCTTCGCTAACCAAATTGCTAACACTTACCAAGATGAAACAGAAAAGGGGAATGGAATCCCAATGGAAGCGATAATTCACTCTCTCATTCTAAAATAAACTACGTAACAAAGGGTATTACACACAAAGACTCACGTATAAACTACATAAACTCAACTATATCACTCACAAATAAATTAATAAATTTGGGTATATTCTATTCTTAGTGCAGTGATATTAACATATGCAGATTGATGGTAACAAGTTCAAGTATCAATATAGAACAAAAGTGGATTTGTTGCTCAATCCTTCCCCGTGAGTCACAAAACTAAGAAACAGAGAAATTCAACAACAGGGCATTCAATTCAATTGTAATATGAAGCTTACTGCGGCGAGTGCGCTTCTTGTAAAGGATTCGGTAACCGCACTCACGGCACTGTATAACGTCACCTGGCTTCAGGGTATTCTCCATCCCACAATCTGCAGAAACACACACAAAATCGCACTTCACTCTCAAAACCCTAAAAACAACAGACACAGTACACACTCGAAGAGAAAGGAATAAAATGCAAATGAATTTTCCCGGCAACATATGAACTTCAGAAAATCGTTTTGCGAAATTCAAATGCGCACAAATGCGACTCAAAGCTACGTATTTCAAAAGCTTAGACTAATTGTCTTTCCATGCGTTTTCTTCCACAATAATTTTCGCAGGAAACAAACAGAAAATCGGATGAGATTAGAGAAAAAAACCTCCGCAGATGTAGCTAACTGGCTCAGGCTGAGGATCCATGGCTGGTTTCGGCGATTCTAGCGTTCTAGGTTTTGTAGCTGCACACTAAAGAATCTCTAAAACAAAGCAAAGCTCTCACATTTGTATGTAGTTCTTGGGCCTCAAAATCGATCTTCTCGGGCCCCGCCCAGGCCCAATTTATATCTTGCAATTATCTTTTTCTTTCAACACAACAAAAGACTGAATTAAACAATTAAGACTAAGAGCCTGTTTGGATCCTTTTATTTTTAAGTTAGAAGCTACTTATAAGTTAAAGCTAAAAAAAGAGCTTAAAAAAAGAAGCTCAAAGCTGTTTGGAAATTACATAAAATTTTAGCTTAAAAATTAGTTAAAAGCACATATTTCAAGAAAATTATTTCTCTATCTATCTTTATCACTCTTCATTTTAAAAAAAAGCACACAATTCAAGAAAAACAGATAAGAGCTTAAAAAAAAGCTCCTCCTAGGAGCTTTTAATTTTCAGCTTTTTTCTTCATTATAAAAAAAGAGCTTTTTGTTATAAGAGCTTTTTTCAAAACCTGTTTGGCCTAACTTATACTTATAAGTAGCTTCTAGCTTAAAAATAAGAGGATCCAAACAGGCACTAAGAATAGTTTCAATTTTTTAAAGTTATTTTAGATAATTTTATTTAATGTTTATCGAAATGATGTTATTTTGGTGCAAAAATTATAATGTTTGTAATTTTAATTTATTTCAGTGTTATAGTAGTCTTTATCATTATAATTTTTTAATTTTTAACTCCAAAATAATATCATTTTGATGAATATTATATATTTTTTTTTCTCTTTTTTTATTTCTCAATTCTCATAATAAAATAGTATTTTCATTTGAAATATGCGTCTATCTATATAGAGAACATATCAATTAATATGAGAAGAGTGATTTATTGTGAGAGTAAGAGGAACACATCTTAATTATCGAATCATGTGTGATTAAAAAATAAAATATTAAGTTATGTAATTTTAAATAAATTTAATCTTTATCATTTGTGCATATCGAGTGATACAATTTTGACATTGCAGTAGTAATGTCAAATTCATTTTTCTTCATTTTATTTTCTCCAAAACAACTGCTTTCATTTCATCATAAAGGGGGCGCACAATTACCACTGCATCCACATCATAAAAAAAAAAAAAAGTAAATCAAAATATAAGTACAATATACGTTATGATGTAATCAAGATTGATGAAATGCCAATTAAGAAAATATATATTGAGATGTATATTTTTTTGATTTACTATATTCTATTAAGAATTGCAGGGTTGGAGATAGGAAAGAAGACCTAAGATTTGAATCTTAGATTGATTATTAGTTGAAATTTGAGCCTTATGAATATTTGAATTGAAATTTGCATGATAGTAATTTGAGCATTCTTTCCTTCTAGATTTTCAATGCATGGAAGAACTGTTCATTCTAGAAAAGTCAAGGATAACCACCCTTATGTCAACTAACTATCAAATAGAAAATCAAAATCAAAACCAAAGCGTTTACCAACTTTTTTTGACTTGGAAAAAGTTGGCTTCCACTTAGTTCATTCCGCTTAAATTTCAACCTTGTAATTTGCAAGAAACAATGCAGCAAGTTTTAGGAAATAAGATGAGGCTTTGTCTTACTAGAAACATGCTAAAAAGTTGTATTCAAAAAAACAAAAGAAACATGCTAAAAAGTATTTAATCATAATAATCATTAAACTCTCAGGTTTAGTAATTAACGAAATATTAAAGAATCCAAAAGTTGTTTCTGTATTTATGGATAATTCTAATACAAATAGTAGTGAATAAGATGTAGAACCTACATAATAAATTGCTTCATTTAGGCATTTATATAATATTTGTTGGTGTATTTTGAAGAATTCCATTTTGCATATCAGAGTTCTGAAATTTCACTCAATGATGAAGTCTTTTGGTACCTCTCCGGGAAGATGCTTTTCTCTTCAACAGCATGAAGATAATTTACTCCATAGTCCCACTTCAGATGGTAGCTCTACCTCCACCATGACAAGTAAGGAGCAACTTTTCTTCCTTTGGTTTCTCTTATCACATCAATACTATTCCAATAACAAATTGAAGATGTTCTTTTGTACCTATTGCAGACAGAGAAAATGCAAAGAGGGATACAAGAAGGGAAAGCAACAGTTTTGCATATAGGATTCATGAACATGGTAATTCAAAGTTGAGAGATATATCAAACTAATACAGTAAAAAGCGAATTCTATTGAAGCATTAGATTAATTCACAGTATGTTTTATGTATGAATTGCAGTAAAACTGGGTCCTAAACTGTCTGAGGCTCTGAAGGGTAAGTTGAGTTTGGGTGCTAGGATTCTACAAGAAGGAGGGAGAGGGAACATTTTCAAGCATGTTTTTGGTATGCAAGAAGAAGAGAAACTCTTGAAGGCTTCTCAATGCTATTTATATACCACAGCTGGTCCTATTGCTGGAATTCTCTTTATCTCCACTGAAAAGGTTGCATTTTGCAGTGAAAGGTCGACGACCTTCTCTTCTGAAGGTGGAGAGTTAGTCAAGGCACCTTACAAGGTAGTCTTCATATGGTAGAACCCAACTTTAAGCTTAAATTAACTAGTTCATATATTTCTTATCTATTGTATTCTTCTGATATCAAGATGCTTCTTGTTATTCAGGTTTTGATACCAATAGGGAAGATAAAAGAGGTCAATGAAAGCCAGAATGTGAACAAGTTAGAACAAAAGTACATAGAAATAGTGACTAAGGATGACTCTGAATTTTGGTTTATGGGGTTTGTAAGGTATGAGAAAGCTCTCAGGAATCTCAAGAGAGCCATTTCCATGGCCAATTAATTCTAAAAATGGAAAACTAAGCAATGTTATTTTCGTAGTTGTTTGATTATAGGGAAGTTTTGTAATGTGAATGGAATATCCAGGAATGAGACTATTTAATGTTAGGGTTATTGTCTGTTCCATTCGGGTTTCAGCTCAATTTTATGGGCTGGCCTTTGAATGCTCATTTAAGGTATCATTTTTCTATTTCCTTAAAGTGAGACTTTTAGACTCTCGTACTCATTTAATGTGTCATTTTCCTACTTTAAAGTGAGATTTTTAGACTCTCATATTAGAGCATCTCTTATTCATGTATAACTCACTTCTAGCATGTTTAAGATGCACTACCTCACATACAACCGTGAGGTCACCGGGCAAAATGGTTATGACATTTTCTCTCTTAAAGAATATTTTCCCATTATATATACCCTTCCATTCATTAAAGGGTTATCTTACAACCATTACATTTATGAGCTATTAATTTGCCCAAATATAAAGTCACCATGCCCATGACATCATTCCCCCACTCTCAGCCATCAATGAAATACTTAAAGTGACTCTCTCGAGAGCTCTAATCCATACCACTGCCTCTAAGAGCACCTCCGTAACAACATACTTCTCCCTACAGGGATACAAATAGGGCTGTGCATGGGTCAGGTCGGGTCAGGTTTTTGTCCGACTCGTCCCAACTTGGTTTTTATAGGTCAGGTATTTTAACCTTCCCGCTTTCATTTGATCCAAGTCAGGTCTGACTTGGATTGAATTTTGTTGAACTAGTTCAGAACCAGTTTGGATCTGACCTGACTTGGTTTCTGAAGTGGGTCTGACTTGGTTTCTGAACTGGGTCAAATCTGACCTGACCCGTTTTTGACTTGGTTTTCTCACAAAATTTTGTCGAAATTTTTACGTTGCAAAAGACGAAAATTTCGTCACAAAATTATTTTTTCGTCGAAATTTTTACAAAAAAAAAATTTCTATTGAAATTTAGTTTCCGTCAACAGTTTAGACGAAAATGATTTCTTCTATCAAATGTTTTAAACGAAAAAAGATTTTTGTCAAAAAATTTGACGGAATGTTTTTCGTTCAAAATTTCGATGGGAATGTGTTCTGACGAAAATTTTGACGGAAATTATTTCGAGGGAAATGTTTCATTTGAAACTTTCGACGAAATTTAGATTCTCTAAAGAATTTTGACAGAATATTTTTTTCGTCAAAATGTTTTATTTGTCAAAAAAATTTACGGAATTTTTTTATAGAAATGTGTTTCGTTGAAAATTTTGATGGAAATTTTTTATCAAAAAACTTGACGAAAATATTTAGTTGAAAATTTTCGATGGAAATGTGTTTCGCTAAAAATTTCGACGAAAATTTTTTTTTGTCAAAAAATTTGACGAAAATTTTTTCGTCAAAAACTTTCGCCAAAATTTGAAATTTGTAAAGAATTTTGATGAAGTTTTTTGCCGTCAAAATTTTTTGATGACGAAAATGTTTCCTTCGAAAACTTTCGCCAAAATTTGAAATCTGTAAAGAATTTTGATGAAATTTTTGCCGTCAAAACTTTTTGATGACGAAAATATTTCCGTCGAAAACTTTCGCCGAAATTGAAATATGTAAAGAATTTTGATGAAATTTTTTGCCGTCAAAATTTTTTGATGACAAAAATGTTTCCATCGAAAACTTTCGCCGAAATTTGAAATCTGTAAAGAATTTTGATGAAATTTTTTTCCGTCAAAGAATTTCGATGAAAATGTGTTTCGTCGAAAATTTTTATGAATATATATTTTTGTGAAATATTTTGACGAAATTTAGATTCCGTAAAAAATTTTGACAAAAAAAATATTTCGTCAAATTTTTTTACCGATATGTTTTTAGTCACAAATTTTGATGAAAATATTTTTCGTCAAAAATTTTTGCGAAAATTTTTATTAAATTATTTTTCATAAAAAATTTTGACGTAATTGTTTTACGTTAAAATTTTTCTTTTAATGTAATTGTGATTTTTTTTTCCACATAATAAGTATGGGTCAAGTTTTGGGTCAGTGGGTCAATATTAAAACGAGTCAGGTCTAAAACTGACCCAAATAAAAGTGGGTCAGTATTAATATAGGTTGGATCAAGGGCAAAGCAATTGAACCAGTTTTTTTGCACACCCCTAGATACAATCCTAAACTCATCACACAAATAGTTCATTGTTATCTGTACTGCATTGTTGCTTCATCCCTTATCTCTTGGTGATCAAGAACCCGTGACTAAGTTGTATGCCATGGAAAAAGACACTGTCCTTCGTGATTCAGCAGAGGTGGTAGATCCAACACGGCTTGGAACCGCGTTATATAGAGACCAAATGTAGAAAATCAGAAGACTACAACTAACCATTTATTATATACATAAAAAGGCCAAGCACATGTAACACTAATAACATGATAAATACTTGCAGCGCAATTAACAAGAATTTTTTTCTGTCAGATTCTTAATTCAGGATTTTCTATGAATTACTTAGGAAAGTTTAAATAGGTAATACAAGAAGTCTTATCCCACTATATTTGATAGAAAAAAGTGGGGGACCACTAAGGTGGGTCGATTATGTTTCTTGTTAAATGTGCATTTTTTGATTTGATTTTAAACCATGAATTCCTACGAGGATGCAATTTAATTTGTGAACATGTTAAATAACTATCATGTTCTTTTTTTCTTCACTCTTTAGGCCACATCATGTTTAATCTCTTCTTCACAAAGAGATTATAATCCCAGAAAGACCAGAAAACTGAGACAAAGAAATTATCTAAAACTGAAAAGTTTAATCCCTACTTCTTCTCAATCTCATTAGATTTCAGAATTCTTAACTAAACCAAGGAATTTGTTGTTTCTTTTGCCATGAATTTAAGCCTTAAATTGTTGATAACTGTCCATTAACTAACTTGAGCCTGTGTTTTACAGGATCCTTGGTTTTCTCTGCTTCTTCTTTTTTTCTTTTACCATACAAGCAACATAAATAAAGTAGAGCACAAAACATAGAAAGAGAATTAAGATGATAAAGAGGGATGATCACTGATTAGTGAGCTCATATCCTTCACAAAATCTACACCAAAAGGATGTTCTTACAACTTCAACAAAAGCATGTATATGTTGTGAACATTTATTCATATTAATGTCTTTTCCAAAAGAAAGGCCTAGTCTGATTCTGACTAGTTTTATTCATTCTAAACATTGGTTCGTTAGAACTTAAGCCCTTTTGAACACAACCCTGAATGATGGAACTTTATCACTCAGAGCCAAATGCCCACTCCCATCATCATCTATATATATCCCTAATGCTCTGCACAAAGTCTGGCATTTGCATACTGAGGGACAGAAAGAAAGCTCGTAGTCTTTCATAGCTTTCTCAATCTTGAACCAATTGACAATTGTGTCAACACCAGGATTGCCTCCAACACCATCAGTACTCAAAAACCATACACCTGAAAACACTTTAAGAAGCCTCCACACCGAGGATTTGACACAGGTTGTTGTTGTAGTCACAGACTTTATGTTCATATCAGTTGAGGTTAGGATGACACCATCCTTAGCATTGTAGGGTGTGAAAGTAACTGGCTGGCCATTAAAGACATCAAGCTTTTCTTGCACCACAAAAAGTGGGCATGTGTTGTTACCTCTGCTTGCAACTGTTAGTCCACCACCTTTGCCTCTTGTGACTGGCAAAATGTAGTACTTGACACCTGTTCTAAGTTTGTGGCCTGAGATGTCAAGCACTGGTTCTGGTGCTGCAGCAGTTATGCCAATGAAGAGTTCTATGGTGAAGGCAAAACAAAAGATGGAAAAGGCTAGGAGTGAGGTCTTCATGTTTCTCTCTGGCTTCAAGAATGAGGGTATGATTGTTTTTTGTGTATAGATAAGGGTAGAGTAGCCCTCTATTTAAAGGGGTTAAAGTGGGAACATGAGTTTTGTGTGTCTTAGACCAATTAGCACGATATATTATAGGTGAGTGGATTGTGGGTCATACTTAAAATATAAATAATCTATAGTTGTACTGAGAAAAGGTTCATGGAAGACAGCAATTTGCATCTTCTCGCACCGTCATGCCAACCTTATCCCTTGGTAACGTGCAATTGTACTAAGAAGCATTCCATGTGTGTGATTATTGTGCTATCCTCACAGTCGTGGCTCATGGCAGTGGTGGAACACTCATGGCAGTGGTGGAGCCCGAGAGAGTTAAGAGGGGTGATCACGCCCTCTTAAGTTTATATAAATTTGTCTTAGACCAAAAGATAGTATATAATATAATATGTTTGTCTCCCTTTAGTTTTTCTCTTTATTATTTTTTATGTATGAATTTTTTTTTAAAGAATTATATATTATTTATGGGTTTTGCAACACAAATACTCAGGTGGGGCCCACTGGAAAAAAATAAATAGATAAAATTAAAAACATTGGCACTATGTATAAGGAATATTTATTGGATAGATTTCAGACTTTGGATCCCCATCCTCCATCATATTCCATCATGGAACATGCCCATACTCGAATCTATGGCCAACATACCCTTTTCCATCGCTTTGCTCTCCTAAATGAGGGAAGAAAAAGATCATATATTCCTGATGAAGATTTTGTACAACGGGTAGCAATGGGATGTTATAATTCTCAACTGGCCCTTAAAATTGATTGGTAAATCAAATCACTCGATGGGCAACCTATTGAAGCGTGGCAAAAGGTGTAAATTAATGTTACTATTGAAAGGTCGTTCTGTTGTTATTTATAATCTTGATCACCTCCAAGAAAAAATGGTTGGATGATGCATTGAAAGATAAACGCGCCCATTGTCAACGAGTAAGAATGTCAAAAGGGATTATACTATCTCATTAAGGGGATTTGGTATAAGTTTTTTTTGGTTAAAATGCTGAAAAAGTGGGGTGAAGTCCTCCATCCTTTACATGTTTGGTAATTATAATATATTAGGCCACACTTATTAATTAATTAATTTTCAATAAATTATAACATTTGATTGACGGAAATCAACGATTAAGATTTGATAGTTAAAAAAAAAAAAAATAAGTATAACATTTCCCGATTTGAATTACTTTAAATATCAAATTTTATATTTAAGATACCTGATTAATTTCAATTTGTTTTATTACTTTTATTTTTCCTTATTTAGAATATATAAATAAAGGTCAATATTGAATCAATTCCGTCTTCAAATCTTTTAGAATAAAAACCTTTATTTATAAATCTAATTAATTCCTAATATTAATCACTCAAAACATCCTCATAGACATAATTATATAAAAATATCAAATAGTTTTAATAATATATCACAATCACGGCAACAAAGGGCCGACCCAGTTCAAACCCACTGCGTGAGTGTTTGGGGAAGGGCAAATACGAGTCAAGCCTTACCCTTGCTTTGCAAGGAGGCCGAGTCGAACCCAGGGCCTTGGACACCACGGCAAGCAAGCTTACCGCTGAGCCAAGCCGGCTCTTCACAATCACGACAACAATAATTGATAAATCAAAATATTATCACGAAAAGTTTTTAATGGTTTATTTTTCAAAATAATTAGGATAAACAAATTTTGATTTTGTTACTTTTTAAAAGCAGACGTTAAAATTGTCATTAGATACCATTATACTATTTATGAAATTTGGAATCTTTAAATTGAGATTTTGGTTTTGCTTCAGCCTCAAGGACTTGTTACAGAATTAGCGCTTCTAAGCTTCCAACGTTTAAGTCAGAGCGTCTACCGCCGCTGTCACCACCGTCTCCGCCGCCGCCGCCACCAGCTGAGACTCCCATTTACGTATCATCTCTATATTCCAGCGCCGCCCTTGTTCTTGCTTTACCGGAAGGTTCTTTTTCGTTTATTTATATATGTATTTACACATACACATGTTTATTTCTCAATGTTTTCTATTTTTTTTATTGTTCAAAATAATCAAATGCAATGCTACTGTTACTGCAGGTTGAGTCAAGAATCAAGAAGACTGATGAGTTCTTGAGGACAAAGCACACTGAAAAGTCTCGTGTTAGTGTGTGGGGACAGTCGTTTCCAGCGACTGTGCTGGTATGGGAACAAGATGCATCTACTTTTCGGTAGCCCGGATCGGAAGAACTCCACAATTAAGCGTGCTTGACTTGGAGCAATTCTGGGATGGGTGACCTCCTGGGAAGTTTTCCCGGGAAGTGTGCGAGTGAGGACAAAGCACACTGAAAAGTCTCGTGTTAGTGTGTGGGGACAGTCATTGATTCTTGCAAGTTGTCAGGCGTTACAAGTGGTATCAGAGCAGGGCCTCTCTTCCAGTACGGTGTGGTTCGAGGACGAACCAGGCGGAAGCTGGTGGGCATGTAACATCCCAAGAGCTGGCAAAGGCAGGGAGTCATCGCCGGTGCGAAAGGGCACGGACAATGAGCGGCTCATGCCAAATCTTGCAGCTTGGGGGTTCATGAATGAATCGAATCAACACTCGAAAGAGAGGGATTCCAGCGACTGTGCTGGTATGGGAACAAGATGCATCTATTTTCTGTAGCCCGGATCGGAAGAACTCCACAATTAAGCGTGCTCCACCTTTGTTCACTTATTTGGTGACAAGGCTGAGTCATGGATAAGAATTGTTGAGGATGGTCTTCAGGAACTATTCGATGATTATGTCAAGGCAGTGCTTCCTTATACAGCGACAAATGGTGATGAAGGGAATAAGGCTATGATAAAGCCTGAGTCATTTGAAGAAGGGTCAATTGAAGCTGCATATTTTGATTTTGACATTGATATATCTGACTTAATAGGTAACCTGCAATGGAAGACGGAATTGACTGAGTATCTGGAAGAGCCTCTAGAGCCCAATGTACAAAAATTTGATATTCAGAACTGGTGGAAAGTAAACATATTGAAGTACCCAATATTTTCTAGAATGGCTTCTGATATTTTGTCTATACCGGCGTCTACTCTCTCTGCAGACTTTGTTTTTGATACAGAAATTAGAAAAATGGATAGCTACAGGAGTTCATTAGACTCCCTTACTCTTGAGGCCCTTATTTGTACGAAGGACTGGTTCCAGGATAAATTATTATCCATCGATGTTTCTAATGCACTTGTGAAAGTGGAATGTTAAATGTAGGTTTCTTCTTTTAGGATAGATTCTCAAGTAGTTTTTTGGTATTGAAATTTTGGAACTATAATTTCTGTGATTAACAGTTTTTTTGTTAATTGTTTATAATATGGCATTGATTCTATTCTAATCCTTTTGTCAAAGCTGTTTTGTATTCAAAACATCAATTGTATTCATAGATTCAATAAAAAATCTTCCTTATATTACACTGAGTTGGTGTGCTTAGATGACATTCCTCCTGCAAATAACACTGGACATGAGCCATTCTCTGCTGCTAGGTGTCGTATCTTTCAAAGAACAAACCATACAAAAAATGTAGCTTGGAGAATATTTTTTTTCGTCAGTGAATGTCTGTGAGATAATAATCAACATAACATTGTCTCTGACAATTATTTTATGCTTTGTCCTATTTATATTTCTAGTGAAAGTGCTTTTGGGAAATGTTGATTTTAGCACTCAATCTGTGTTACCAATATATTATGCATTATACTAACAACGAGTACTACTTTTGCCAAATGTGCTTGCTGACTCTTGAGTGGATCCAGACTTATATGTTACTCTTGACTCTTGAGTACATAATTATAGTACACATTGGGTACTTTAGAATTAGAATTAACTTCTTTTTTTTTTTGAGTTACCCAACCCTAATTACCTCTTTGAGGCGAGTTGGCTCCCTCCGGTATCCCCACGAGCTTCGACTCTTTGAGCCGGCTATGAGACTAATCCGGAGTGCGGGGGAGCAGTGATGGCTAAAGGTTCAGCCCCCTCCCCAAGAATGCATTCAGCAGGAATCGAACACATGTCCAACCCCACTAACTCAGCGCCAAGTTACCAACTGAGCTGCACCCATTGGGTCGAATTAGAATTAACTTAAACTGTGTACGCCATTTTTAGTTTATATTTTTAGTGACAATATTATAATTTATGTATTTTTTATTTTAATTGCATTTTAGGATTATTATGTACTATATAAAAGGAAATTTATGACTTTAATTGTCTATTGTTCAATTTTTAAATACTATTTTTGCGGATGGAAGCCTTTATCTAGTCGTGCTTCCATATGCGCACAGGCTGTAAGAATCCAAGAATGAAGAAATTACATCTGTAGTCATAACAAAAAAAATATCTTGCGCATAGGAGGTGAGTATTAACAATAGTTACAAAAGCTGAATGGATTCAACCATCCATTTTTCTGGTTAACATGTATAAATTACATGACTATATAGTAGCCATGATTTTAGCACAGCCAACAGATCATAAAGACAACATAATGCAGAGAACCTAAGTTGCAGAATAGTTGCTACTTGGCTTTCCTTCCAGCACTTCTACTACTTTGCCTGCTTGGAACTCTTTTCTTTAATTGCTTTTCTCCCCTAGCTTGTTTACTATTTGTCACCTGGCCGGGTTTCTTCTTTTCAACCTGATCACTATCAACATCGTCATCAGTACCAGCATCACCATCATTGTCATCATCACTTTCCTTAGACTTTTTCTTTTTGGAAGGCTTCCTACCTTCAGCTCCAGCATTTGTTCTCTTTTTTGATTTGAGACTTCCTAAATTCTCCTCTTCCCCGTTTGTTGGTTTCTCAGTGTCATCGTCGTTATCATCATCTATACTTATTTTCTTTTTTGAGGCTTGCCTCCTAGGCTTACCAGTTTCTTTTGCATCTTGTGATCCAGTTTGCTTTTGCAACTCTGGCACGTAAGCAGTAGTCTACGAGCAACATCATTTGCAGATCAGAGAGATATAAAATATGATAAAATAAAAAAATAAAAAATAAAACAATTAAGGGCAATGTTCAGAATGGCATACCCTGCCACCAGCAGCCATGAAGTCAATTTTTTTCCCTGCTATCACATGAAAATTTATTAATGTTCGGACATGCAATATAAAATATATTTTTTCATTTATTATTCTTGGAATGGAAGCAGGGTACATTTCATCCAATATTTAAGCAGAAGAAAAGAAACTGAGTAAATAAAAAAGTACGAAGAAATTGATTATAGATAAATACATCACGTTTTAGTTCGATCCTACACAACAACCAGTGAGACAAATAAGAAAAGACAATATCACCCACTTTCAGAAACCCACCTTAAAGCATTGCAATTTCACAACCCTAAAATTGGAGATCAGTATACTTAATTTTTAATAAAATTTGCATAAAAAAATCAATAACAAAGCTTGAATTGCCAGAAGAAACCTGTAAGTTTCAAAATGGAGTCCTCAATGATGCATGCATTATACTTTCATTTTTCAAATTTGAAGTGATCAATAAATAATATCTTTATTCCAAATTTCCAATGCCACTTTCCACGGTTGAATGCTCAAAAACTTCACTAATAATGGGATCGTTCCTTAATATAAAGTCAAATACAAGAACTTTAACTTTCTATCCACAATCTCATCAGAAATGGCAAAACAAGCCTGGAATTGATACACTCTTGATGCTTAAAGTTTCACATTGATTTCAAAAATAGTAAATCAAACCAATCAAGAAAACAAGTTATTGAATTTACTGTAATTTTTTTAGTGGAATTACACATAAATTAAAATGTAAGCAGCACAAAGCCTTAGAAAGATTGCGATACCAGTCATGTTGCACCAAATAATGTTAAAAAGAATTTTTTTTACACAAAGTGAGGGAGCAAACCATCAACAAAAGCCTTGCCGGGCTTTTTTTCACGTGAATGAAATATCCAACTAGTGGGAAATTGACTACTATCTGCTCCAACTTCAACTGCTTTTTCAATGACCTGTAAAATAAATCTATTTGTCAACAAATACATACTAGAGAAGTATTGCTCACCATTTATTTTTCCAGGCTTTTTTCCCCATCGAAAATGAAATAACCATTCAAGAGGAAAACAGCTACAGTCAGCATCGACTTCAACCGCAAATTGAATAACCTACAGGTTTTATCCTCTATATTTTTTGAGGTATACAAGTTCTATAAACTATGAGCATCTTAAAAGAAATCAGTGTCCCCACCTCTTTAATGCACTTATACAAAGTTGAGCAGCTTTCTTCAGACAGGCTAGATGCAATATTCCGTGGATGAATTCTTGCCTGGAAACAAGGGAAATATCATAAAGTATTATGTAAATTCTATAATTTAATTTCTATCCAAGGCTAGAAGGATAATTAATTAAGAACTCGCAACATATGGATGCCAGAGCAGATACTAAATCCTGTGAAATTTAAGTTCCAAAATATTTCAAGCTACCAAAGCAAAAGCAAAAATTAAAATTGAGTAAACTACAATATTTGTTATCAACTTAATTTCATCTACATCAATTTCAATTCTATATCACACAGGTAGATGTTTTCACTACCCAACTAATAAGTATACAACACATGTCTGAATTCAAACTTCATTTTATATTCTTACAGCACATCATTGTTCCCCAAGAAGGTGACGGTCACTGCACATTACTTTATTAAATATCTAAGCAGCAACATTGACTAGTTGGACAGAAGTGTCTCCTTAAAATTGTACCATGATAGATATAACTAAAAAGGAACCTTCATAATAATAAGACTAAAAGACACTAATAAGCATCATTTCGAAGTTCCAACATATTTCTACTAAAATGAAATTATGTCTTATTTTCCTCTCTAACTGGATTTCAGACCATTCACAGTCTTGGTGACATGAATAGAGTATCTATCTGTTCCATCGGCATAGAGTAAGGGATCCATGAAAGACAAGATAAAACCGGATTTGTAGTGAAGAGCATATTCATTAACTGGTAAAGGTAGTATAACCAAGGAAATGGTATTAGTCCTTTACAAAGCCGACGTGTATTTTAGTCTTTTCTTGAATTCATATATGATCAAGACTCATCCTTATTTATCCACTATATGGCCATATATTGAAGTTGCTAAAAGACTAAGTTCAGATGAATAATAAAACTTAAAGCTTAATCAGCCATATATAAACTCTAAAGCCACGTAGAATCTGATATCTTCAATTATAAACATAATTGGAAAACATCAAAGATTCAAAATCATTGAGAAAATGAAGGATGTACTTACTTGGTATAGCACTTCATCAGCAATCCAATTCCCAATACCTGAAATATAGCTCTGCAAAGATTGGAAAACTCAGATCTTTCATATTTTACATCATGTAACGATGAAGTCAACTGTAACGAAAAGTTAAACTTAAAATGTCAAATTCCTATGCACTGTAAACCACGAGAAGGGAAAGATGATATATATCTAACAGACATAAGGAAATTGCAAATGTACAGGGCAATGCATTAAAGGGAGGAGAAAAAAAACTAGACTTAATTGCATAATAAGTTAGTAAAAGTTATCCATCTAAACAGAATTCACTTCATGCTTGCAAGCAATTACGTAATGAACTACATTTTTTATTATGTTTCTTGTTCCATTTGCCTCATCAGTAGAATACTGTCTTCTACTCAAGCTCAAGTTATCAGAAAGTAAATGTTAAGGTACCAAATGAAGTTCTGAGAAAAGAACACCATATTTTGATTTCTCAAGTGAAAAAGACATACTCTCATAACTAGAGCCCCCAACCAATGTAAAAGCAAAAACAAGGAAAACAATTACATAGTACAAGGATGATATCCTAATAATAAACAAACAAAGATGAGTAAACTATAATCTTTGGGAAGTGATAAAGGAAACCAATTAATACCTGGTCAAGTAATAAAGCCTTGATTTCAGTTTTCTTCTTGTGCAAAGACTCAGTAAACTCCTTAAGTGTCATAGGTTCTGAAAGTGCATCAGGACCAAGCTCAGATATGGGAGGCACTGACGTCGGCTGTATCAAGAAAATATATATATATATATATATATATATATATATATATATATATAGTTAATAGCAAACTTTTTTTTATAAAAAATAGATATGAATGACAATTGGCAAGTAGGGTCACAATACATCTTTAAGCAAGCGAACTTTAGCAAATCGCCTTTTGTCAGTGAAAGACAGCTCCAAACCATCATCTAGCTGTGCCAATATGATTTTAATCTGGTTAATACTCATAAAAAGTTCACATAAATGATAATACTTGTTGGAGTGACATGTCCTCAAATCTCAAGGTCCACTATGCATGCTAAGAAAAATGAAAACTTAAATTATGACAAATCATCATTCCATACAAGTACACCTTCATACTCATTATGCTATTATGTTTGACATGAAAGAATCAAATGATTGGAAAACCCAGAGAAAATTTAAATAGCAGATATTGGGAAAATCAAATGCTTCACCACAAACTGTAGAAAATCAGAATCCAAACATGTTTCCGTTTTTATTTCCTATTAATTAGGATTGATTATGATTGATTAGGATTGATTGTGATTGATTAGAATTGATTGTGATTAGGATTGATTAGTCATCGCTTAGTCATCGCTTAGTCATTCTTAGCGATTCTTTCTTGTATAAATACTCTCTCATGTAAATTATTCAAAATCAATATATACAGAAACTTCTTTTCAATATGGTATCAAGAGCGGGTTCGTTCCTACCCTAATTCAAATCTGAAATAACCATCCAAACACTTCCATCACCGTCAAACACCTCCTAAACACCTCCTTGAATCTGTCCAACACAGAAACCTAGTCTACTGACCTCCGATCAAGAAAGTGAGGTGACCATTCGACTCAGAAGGATCCGACGAGTCGACCGCCGCTGGACCCATCGCCGTCAACCGCCGCACGCGCCGTCACACGCGCGGCCAGTTTCTGGCGCGTGAGCTCCACGCGCCGCCTTCCCAACGTCTTTTTCCACCGCGACTTGCACAGACCTTCTCGCCGGCTTCTCCCCTTCCTGTTCCAGAGGTCAGATCAAAAATTTACAAAACTTGATTTTTCATCAACGGTCAACCCTTCTCTTTCTATTCATGGCTTCCTCAAAACACTCATCCTCTTACTCTGATGGTGTCTTTCTTAGCAAGACTAAGTTTGAACAACTTCAGAGACTTTTGACTCAACCTCCTAAGGCCACTAGTCATGTGGTCCAGCAAGGTACAGCTTTCCATGTTGATAGTCAAAATCATTGGATCCTTGATTCTGGTGCCTCTGATCATATGACAGGTAATCTTGGCTTGTTTTGTTCATACACTCCATATTCTGAACCTTCTCGGGTCAAGATCGCCGATGGCAGTTTTTCCCAGATTGCGGGACACGAAACCATTAAACTTTCTGAGCTGATTACTTTGACATCAGTTCTTTATGTTCCTTCTCTGACTTGTAATCTCATTTCTATTAGCAAGCTCACCTCTGAGTTGCATTGCTTTGCTAAATTCTTTCCACATGGTTGTGTTTTTCAGGAACAGGACTCGGAGAGGATGATTGGCAGTGCTAGAGAGGATGGTGGACTTTACTACTTTGAGGAGGATGTGACTCATGAAGCTGTTTTCGTAGAAAAAAACTCTGTTTCCTTTTGATTCATGTAATGATGTTATGATGTGGCATCGTAGGCTAGGCCATCCAAATTTTATTTATCTTCAGAAGTTGTTGCCAAACTTATTTATTCATAAAAGTCCAAGTTTGTTTTCTTGTGATATTTGTCAACTTGCCAAGCATACTCGTGCTCATTATCCTTCTAAAGTTCACCATGACTCTTCCCCATTTTCCTTAATTCATAGTGACATATGGGGTCCAGCCCGTGTTAAAAATATTTCAGGTACTCGATGGTTCATTACCTTCATTGATGACCAATCTCGAGTCTGTTGGGTGTATCTTCTAAAGGATAAGTCCGATGCTGCATCCGTGTTTAAAAAATTTCATGCCATGGTTCAAACCCAATTCCAAGTTGCTATACAAATTCTTCGTACAGATAATGGCAAAGAGTATTTTAACTCTATTCTTGGAGAATATCTTTCCCAACATGGCATCCTTCACCAAAGCTCGTGTCCTGACACACCCCAACAAAACGGAGTTGCGGAAAGAAAAAACCGACATCTCCTTGAAGTTGCTCGGGCTCTTATGTTTACCACGAGTGTTCCTAAATATCTTTGGGGAGAGGCAGTTCTCACTGCCTCGTATCTGATAAATCGAATGCCATCTCGCATTCTGAAATTTCAGTCTCCTCTTTCTAGTCTTGTTCGTATCTTCCCTTCCTTCTGAGGTGTCTCCTCCTTACCTCTCAAGTTATTTGGTTGCGTTGCATTTGTCCATATTCCCTCCCATCAACGGTCTAAGCTTGATCCTAAGTTTCTCCAGTGTGTCTTTATTGGTTATTCTCCTACTCAACGTGGCTATAAATGTTATTCACCCTCTCTTCGTAAGGTCTTTGTCTCTATGGATGTCACTTTTTCTGAAAATGACCCTTTCTTCCCCTCGACTTCTCTTCAGGGGGAGATAGGAGTAGATGAAGATCAGTCATGGGAACCTACTGATGCCACGGTATTACCTCTAATTTTGGAAACAGGGGGAGCTACAGAATCCTCACCATCAGGAGCCTCCTCAAAATGGGGACAAGTTTATAGCAGGCGAAAGCCTCCTCAAAGTGTGAATAACCCAGAGCCTCTACACTGCCAGGATTCTGAACCATGTTCTAGTTCCAGCACCCCAATACTTGAGTGTCATGGTGAAAATGATCTACACTTGCCCATTGCTCTCAGAAAAGGTACTCGATCTTGTACTACTCATCCTATTTCTAATCATATTTCATATGGAAAGTTGTCCCCAGGGTTTCGTGCTTTCAATACTATGTTGGATAGTACAAAGATACCGAGAAATATAAATGAGGCTCTCAATGATCAAAAATGGAGGGATGCTGTCTTTGAAGAAATGAATGCTTTAAAAAGAAATGGAACTTGGGAGATAGTGACCCTACCCAAAGGAAAACAGGCAGTAGGATGCAAATGGGTGTTTACAATAAAATTCAATGCAGATAATAGCATCAACAGATACAAGGCAAGATTGGTTGCAAAGGGTTTCACTCAGACTCATGGGATAGATTATCATGAGACTTTTGCTCCGGTTGCTAAAGTCAATACCATCCGAGTTCTCTTATCTCTTGCTGCCAATCTAGATTGGCCTCTGCAACAGTTAGATGTGAAAAATGCATTCCTAAATGGTGACTTACATGAAGAAGTCTATATGGATCCTCCACCTGGTTTTGAAAAGGGAAATGGATCAGTGTGCAAACTAAAAAAGTCTCTATATGGATTGAAACAGTCTCCCAGAGAATGGTTCGACAAATTCACACAAGCAGTCAAAAGAAGAGGCTTCATTCAAGCACAGATTGATCATACTCTCTTCCACAAACACTCTAAGGATGGTAAAATTGCTATTCTTATTGTATACGTAGATGATATAATTCTTACAGGTGATGATATTGAGGAATTGAACACCTTGAAGAAATTTCTAGCAGCTCAATTTGAACTCAAAGACCTTGGCACTCTCAAATATTTCCTTGGTATGGAAGTTGCTAGGAGCAAAACAGGCATCACTCTAACACAAAAAAAATATGTTCTAGATCTTTTGTTGGAAACAGGAATGTTAGGGTGTAAACCTGCTGAGACACCTGTGGAACCTAATACCAAGTTAGGTATTGAAGATGGGAATGAGGTGGATAAAGAACAATATCAGCGATTGGTTGGTAAACTAATCTACTTATCTCATACGCGTCCTGACATTGCCTTTGCGGTGAGTATGATTAGTCAATTCATGCACTCACCCAAGGAGAAGCATCTTAGTGCAGTCTATAGGGTGCTTAGATACCTCAAGAATACTCCAGGAAGAGGATTATTCTTTAAAAAGGGGTATAAAAGGACAATTGAAATCTACACTGATGCAGATTGGGCAGGCTCATCAGTAGACAGGAGATCTACCTCAGGCTATTGCACCTATGTGTGGGGAAATCTTGTTACTTGGAGAAGCAAAAAGCAAACAGTGGTTGCAAGAAGTAGTGCTGAAGCAGAATTTCGAGCTTTATCTCATGGAGTTTGTGAAGGAATCTGGTTGAGAAGACTTCTTCAAGAGTTGAAGATTTCATATTCCCTACCAATAAAACTATATTGTGACAACAAGGCAGTTGTTAGCATTGCTCAAAATCCTGTGCATCATGATCGAACAAAGCACGTGGAAGTTGATCGTCACTTCATCAAAGAAAAATTAGATGACGGAAGTGTGCGTTTAATATACGTTCCAACCAAAGAGCAAACGACAGATATCCTTACCAAGGGCCTACACCGTCCAGCATTCGAAGACTTGATTGGCAAGTTGGGAATGATCAATATTGACCTCCCAACTTGAGGGGGAGTGTAGAAAATCAGAATCCAAACATGTTTCCGTTTTTATTTCCTATTCTAATCAATCACAATCAATCCTAATCAATCCTAATCAATATTGACCTCCCAACTTGAGGGGGAGTGTAGAAAATCAGAATCCAAACATGTTTCCGTTTTTATTTCCTATTAATTAGGATTGATTAGGATTGATTGTGATTGATTAGAATTGATTGTGATTAGGATTGATTAGTCATCGCTTAGTCATTCTTAGCGATTCTTTCTTGTATAAATACTCTCTCATGTAAATTATTCAAAATCAATATATACAGAAACTTCTTTTCAATAAACCATGATTTAATAATATTCAAAATCCACAAAAATATTTAGCAATATGAAAACAACAGATGAAAGTCATCATATGACAGTACAAAACAACTCCTTCCCCCAGCTCTATCATTACAACAATATTTAACAATATGGAAAAAAAGATGAAAGTCATGACATGACAGTATAAACATCTCTTTCCCCTGGCTCTATCACCACAGCTGTTTTACTTCAAAAACTTAAGAAACTGAATCAAATCAGAAGTTCACACCCTTCCGCTCACCAGCCGTATGAAAAGTTTTTCTTTCCAATATATATGGGGATAGGGATAACTTTCTCCACCAACTATAATTTCTGTCCTCTTTGATCTTTGAGGTTTTGAATGGCAAAGAATATTCTTCATATTTTTGTGAAATTTACAAGAAAAATGTTGATCCATCAATTGAAGTCCCCTATAAGTATTAAGGAAGTAGTTTATTGTAGTACCTCCATAGCAAAGGATACAAGTGCCATTGTGTAGGCAGAGTCCTAGTGTATACTATAAACAGAGGTATTGCATTTTGTTGCTCCCTACCGATTCACTCTCCCCATTTTCTCAACAATGCGCAAAGTTTACAATAATTAAACTTTTACAGATGATCCGCAATACTTACAGCTTATCTCTTGAGTAGAGCAGAGAGTGAAGTGTCACAATAATTACATGCACTAAATTGACAAGAAAACTAATTTTCCCACACCATGAAACCGAGCTTCATGAAAGTAGGCAACTGTATACATTGTTGCGGTTGCCACGAATAGAATCTAGACCTACGCTAACAATAAGTATACTTGCAACTTCCAGCTGAATAAGATTTTTATGAGCCCAGAACAAAATGTAATTAAATTCGTCATTAAATCAAATCCGAAGCATTCACTCTTGAGTCCAAATAGTTATATCGTTCTAGCATTCCACTCATCAAAGCAGTAACAGCTCTTACCTTGATGAAAACTTTTGAATATTTGGAAGGCCACTCATCCTCGTCATTTACAGCAGACCTACATGCACATTTTTATCATTACAATAACCAGAGAAGGTACTTATATGAGTGGAATCATTGCAAGGAAGTATAATTCAAAGCTGAAGCAGTTCTACACATTGAGACATTGATAATTAGCTCAACATCAAATAAACTACTTTGAAAATAGAAGGATAAAATAAGAAATTAACCATTTTGAGAGCACTTCACTTGCATTCTGAAATTAATTCCTGCCAGCAACTTATAACAGAACTTGGATCAAATCATTTTGTTACACTTGTATGCTTCTTACAAAGTAAAATAAGTTCTGCATATTAAAATTTACATTTTCATATTATTTCATGTACTTTTAAAATACCAACAATTAGCTGGTGTCCTCTCACTACAGCCACCTATCTTGCAGATTTCAAAATGAAGATAACATCAAGTGTAAGCTATAAGGTCCATCAAAAATAAAACTTAAATGAACATTAGGTCTATAAACTGGGGTTCAGCTCAGCATATGAAATGTGTACCTGTCCAAAACATATAACAGCCCTATTAGCCTTACAATTTTTTATACCATGAATTTCATGCATAAATTTCCTATAGTGGTTGAAATGGCAAACTCGGTCTAAAGTTCAATCCAAGAAAAGCTTGATACTCTATACGCACAAAATCATTTCACACCAATTAATATGAATTAGAGTCTTTTAACACAAAAACCTATCAAAGCATCCTATTTAAATAAGTACTAATAAAAGGAAACGGGGGAAATTATAACAAGGAAACTATGGTATTTATAGCATCAGGGTCTTTTTTTAATATACATACAAAAAAATAAGAAACCTTTATATTGTCAACCTGACAGCTGCATGATAATCAGAGATTTCATGTTATCAAATCTTTGGAAACTTCAGTATAACTTATCAGAATGTATGAATGAAGTAAAGACAACTAAACAGTGGCCTCACCTTTTATACTTTGTTACTGCAACCCCCTTTATATATATAGCACCAGCCATGCCTGAGACAGATAGATAGAAGTAGATATCCATAAGTTGTGGGCAGCACATGTAGTTCCACAGCCACCAAGCACCACCAAACGAAGCTAGGGTTTCAAAAAAAATAAAAAAAAATAAAGAGTAACAAATAGAGAGTACCAAATTGGAAAGAAGGAAAAGGAGGGGAATCAAGTTCAAGCCACATGTTCTTGCCCTTCCGGCGAGCAGCGACGATGATCTTGCCGACGACGGAAGCTTCGAAGTCGGAGCGAGAGACACCGTCGATGACTTTGGAATCGTCAGCAACAACGCACTTGCTTATCTTCTTGCCGACACAGTTCTCCTCGACGGCCCTCCTCGCCGCCTCTACCTCCGGAAGCTCCGGCATTGCTCACACTCTCTCGGCTATGGCGTTTTCCCGCCTTCTTTTTGGATATGCGTATGCCACTCACTCTTCTTCTGAGACGAGATCCTTACAAAGTACCATCAAGTCATTAACGATCCAAGTTATTTTTATTTCTTTTTTTTTACATATTTTATTTTTATTAACTAGCTATCCACTTCCGTGATTATAAAATAGGAAAATGTTAAATGTGGTTTATTTTGAATTATTTATTCCTATGTTTTACTTTTTATTATTTATCTCTTGTATTTTTTTTTATCCAAATTCATCTTTAATAGTGTTAGAATTTCTATTTATTATGACTGTTTTACCATTTTTATAAAAATACACTTCAACAACTATCTTATGTCTTCTTCTTCCCTAAACTTTGCATGGACTTTTATTTTAAAAAAAAAAATTGTTTCAAAGGTATCTCGCCAAAAGTGGATGACTAATCCCTTCTAGATAAAGAGATCATATAATTCGAGCCCTGGATATGGAAAAAACGGATTGGGTAGTGCTACTCCCGTAAGGGACCGACAATGCACAGTTGGGATTAGTCTCACCCCCAAAGGAGGTGGGGATACCCTTGAGTACACTCAAAAAAAAAAAAATCATATAATAGTGGTTACAATCTCACCAATACGACCAATAATTGACTTCTTCCTGACAATGTCTTTTTATAATGACAAAGTTCTTTTATACTCATTATCCTCCTAGTTAGATGTGAAAGTGGGTGGGGCAAGTTACATGATTCTACCACCTAGCTTATATCAGATCAAGTTTAACTTATTACATATAGTCAAATAGAATAAGCTCGGGCTTTTAAACAAGTTTATTTAGAAAGCAGGTCATGTCGGACCTATAAGTCTACAGACCGACCTATGTCATATTATTTATTTTAAATAATATTATTAATAGTAATACCAAATAGTGATAGCGCAGTTGGTACATGTGAGCTGGGTAAGTGGTAGAATGACTTAGGTTCAATCCCTACCAATACTACATTTAGGAGGGCATAAGATCTGTACCAATCTCTAAAGTAATATCAGGACAACATTTAGTGCTGGAGGAAGAAAAAAACAAAAGGCATAAATTTAATCAATTGAAATCATTTTATAATTTAATTATATTTTATTATATTTTAATAAAAATTTGACTTTATTTCTTATGTAGGAAGAACCAACATCTCAGCATGTAATATTGCTTATGTGAATATATAAAAAAAAAAATTTGTTTCTTAATTTTTTTTTTCTATTCTTTAATCTTGTTTTTTGTTTTCTACATTTACAAATTATTTGTCAACTTATGTAACCTTCGAAATTGGAATTGTATTTGCAGGGGAGAGAAGATGATGAGAAATTTTTGACTACTACAAGCTTCATGATGTGTTTGTTGGAATCATTTAATTATTTTAATTTACACAATATGGATTGGTTTGTTGGATCTGATGAAATATACATTATTTAGTTTGAACGTTTTGCTTTTGAAAGTGACATGGATGCAGATTGTGATGAGTTGTTTGTTATTGTGATTTATGGTTCTGTTTTGACGTTGAAATTGTGATTATTTTCTTAACAATAGATTTTAAGTATTTTGTGAAGTTAATTAATGGTTCTGCTTGGAAGTTAAAAATTAACAGGTTAATGGGTCAAGCTAGGCCATTTGTTTTTTTATAAATGAGTCAAGCCACTCACTCTTCTTTTTGGGTATGCCACTCACTCTTCTTCTGAGACGAGATCCTTACAAAGTACCATAAAGTCATAAACGAGTAACAGTGACCAAAGTGTCATGAGTTAAATTTTTTATCCAAACTAGTGTATTATCAGACAGAGGAAAAAAAATTGATTTGTTTGTCTCGTAAAAACTAACGCAACACATTAAAGTATACTGCTGCATTTTATATTTGTCACGTGGTCATTGAAAAATTATAAAGTTTCAGCTTCTTTCAATATTTTCCAGAGATGATCAGAACATGTAACAATGTTTTAGTTAATAAATGTCTGCAATAAGGTCAAGCATAATAAACATAATCACGCAAGATATGAACAAAATATATTTAAATGTTGTGTGATTTCCAGCCACTTAGGATTGCAGGTAATTGTTATAAAAAGATGAGGATACCCAGCCCAACAACAAATTGCAAAAGCATCTTTACAATTTTCAGCAATATATCTAGGTCCGTCTGTGAATGAAGTAGGTATAATGATATGTTTTCCAGTAGTTACGACTGCATCTTCACCTCTGTCGAATGAGTGTTTTGTATTTTTGTACAACTCAGCCCTGAGATGACTCTGGTTATATCGAATGAAATTAAGCCGTTCAAACTCAATCACAGTATACGCATCAACCAGGAATTGTTGGAAAAGTTTCCTCGATCGATGAAGAATTTCTGACTCTCCTAACCGCATCTGAAGTCGAAACGAAAAGAATTCCTTCATGCTGATAACGGCTCTTGCATTTGTCATACCACTGGACACCACAGTACGCTGGACATCATCGCGATAATCGTCTTCACCGTAAGGAAATAACAATGGATACTGCAAGCCAAGATATAATGGATGCTTCACATCGATGCGCTGTAAGACTCTATCTTGGGTCTCAATAATGATATCCCTATCACACATAGCATTGTCTATATCTCCAACAATCAAAGCAGCCACTTCAGATGCTGTCGGAAGATTATAAACTCTTCCATCACTACCACGCTTTCAAATAAGTCTCAACTTCACACCATTAAAGTCATCTTCTTTATAACGGTCTCTAGCACACCGGAAAGACTGAGCTATACTATTGTGCTTATCCAACATCTGCTTAAATGATAGGATAATTTCGGGATCAAGCATATCTTCAGTACTGGTGGAACTGCAAATATAATTACAAAATAAATCATTCACTAATATGAAATAAACATAAAAATATACACCATAAATGAACAATGAGAATTGGTCAGAAAAGGAATATGCCTTAGACAACCCAATATGTTGTCCACTTCGTGCTCAGTATCATATATATATAGCTGAGCAAATTTTGGAGTCTGACTATCGGCCGGTAGAAGACTCCTCATTAAATGATGAACTCGCCCCCCAACTCTAAAACAGTATGGGCCAGAACCTTGATTTACCGATCCATCCACTTTTGCTCCGAAGGATGTGAAGGAAAAAATCATGTTGTACGCTCTGATATTTCGCAAAAAATGGAGGCTCCTCGCATTTGAATTAACATGCACTTGAAGCAACGTATCCGGAGCAGCTTTTAACAAAGGAAGTTTAACTTTTCCATTGCCGCAGCACAAAGTAAATTGTGGCGTACTTGGTTTACGATCCTTCTTATTTCTCTCGTCATACCACATATGTGCTCCACAATGCTGACAAACAAAAGTAGGATCCCCAGCGTCCCAATAATCTAAAAATATACAAAGATGCAGCTCAAACGTTAGACGGATAATTTTATTTGTAACCAAAAAATGGAAAATAGAAAATGAAAATAAAGACCTTCATTGTTAGAAGTCGTGTTTGGCACATTGGAATTATTGATATCAATATTTGTAAGACGAAGAAAAAGGTATTGAAAATAACAAAGACATTTCAATGCAAATAATTTCTATTTCATGTATTAAATTAAGCAAATGTGCACCATTTTCCCTATAAGTAGCAGACAATCGTGCTCGAAGATGGTTTGTTAAAAAAAAAAAATTCTTGCGGTGATTATAATTTTTCATATAGATATTAATATTTTGCAATAAAATAATCAAAAATATAAAATTAATACAAAGACCTATGTTGATAGAAATAATATTTGGCATATTGGAATCATTTATATCCATATCTGCAACACAAAGAAAAAAGTAATGAAAATAAGGAAAAGGACAGCCCAACACGGAAAAAAAATTCAGATATACTAAATTCAGCAAATGTGCACCATCTCGAATATCAACACCATTTTCCCTATAAGAGGTTGTCTGTTGCAGCTAAACTCATTCTGTTTACTGGTGATTTGAGTAAGGCTGTATGTTTTAAAAAAAGATAAAAAATAAAAAAAATCTTAACAACAGACCAGATTTAATAGTTAACAAATGAAGGATTACTAATCATTCGTAAATGAGATAACCCAAGCAATAAACTTACCTGGCAATGGTGGACGCATATAACGGAGAAAGATTTTCTACAAAAAAAATTACAAAGTCCATTACATAAGAACACAACTAATTGAAGTTTATGGAGGATTGCTTTTGTACATACCATTAAAAGGAAACGATTCAATAATGTTTGAAAGGGAGGAATTAGATACGACTTTATCATAATCACAACCGTGTGTTATATTATGCGAAGCAGATTCTGTTTTAAAAAAAACAAAGAATAAATAATTCAGACTTAAAATGTTTGATTATGTATTAACGTTAAAAAAGTTGTTCACAAAAGAAAAAAACATACAGACCGTTTGTATTGTTACATAGTCGTTGTTTGTTGCAGCTCGTCTTATTCCGTAAATTGCTTACATCAGAAATGCTACATATTTTAAAAATGAACAATAACAAAATTAACTAAAATGTGTTGACATAATATACAAAATCCATTAACGGTAAATAATATAAATGACGAATTAAAATGACCTGCCAACGGGGGAGGGAGAAGACCCCAGAAGATCTTCTACAAAGTCATGAGTAAAATGAATTAGATATTCGAATGAGAAATAACTATCAACTACTGCATGAACAGAAATCGTCATTACCAGTAAACCGATTCGATTCAATGCGACCTATGTTCCTTCTTTTCCTTGAAGGAGTTTCGAATTCTGATTTGTCGTTAGACATGACGGTATTCAAATGATATACACCTGCCTATGAGATGCTTCACAACGTACAGGACAACCCAAGTTTGATTAACTCGCTCCTTGTTGCAAGAACATAAACATGAAACAACAATTCAGCTGAATGTGGGCAATGGGAATATGAAGAGACAATGTGATGAGTTTTTGTTCTGAACAAAAAACATTATGAGTTAAAAAATGAAAAGATAACTCCTCAATTGGCGGGAAAGAGTAAACGGCCATTATTTATTAATGAATATAAATTATAAATATTAACATTTATTTATTTTTTGGTCTTTTTTTTGTAAGTAATTGAATCAATTTAATAATGTTCTGAACAAAAAACATTATAAGTTAAAAGATGAAAACACAACTCCTCAATTGGCGGGAAACATTATATGGCCATTATTTATTAATGAATATAAATTATAAATATTAACATTTATTTATTTTTTCGTCCTTTTTTTTGTAAGTATTTGAATCAGTTTAATAATGTTCTAGTATTTTTTTTTGGTGACTAAAAAACAAAGTGTATGACCCTTAGTATTCAAAACTGATGGGCAAGAATATTGCTGCTACTTGGAAAATGCATATGGGATGACAGTGAAGTTTGCTGCTGCTTGACCCTTAGTATTCAAATCTGAGTACAAAGCATATCACCCTTATGTACATGGGCATTCGTAAAAATTAACACAGGTAAAAAATATAACACTCTTCATTGTCTGTCCGAATTTTGATTAGTTTTTATCATTGGATTAAGTCATTAACTTAAAAATGCATCAGTTCAAATTAACGCATCAGTTAAAAAATGCATCAGTTTAAAAACGCATCAAAAGTATACATGTCACAAAGATTTTTTGCTGATATGAGTCTTTGTTATTCCAACGCATATAATGTTGAAAGAATACACCATTTTTTAAAGTACCAAGTAACATCATTGGACAGACAACCATGAATAAGGGTGAGAGAACAATACATGATGTTGAGGATAGTGGGAAGTTCAAAACAGTGACAAATTGTAATACTAAATGAACACAATTTACAACATATACGTGTAATACTAAATGAACAATACGCATAGGCCCTCCCCTATGAATATATTTGAACACATTCGTTGCTTTCACAATGAATATACTTGAACAAAACATTCCAATTTCTCGCTGTCCATGCTCAAATCGTAGTCATTAAGTGAGACTGTGTTGGACAGGTGGCTTCAATACTCAAGAGGGGGGTGAATTGAGTTTTATAAAATCTTTTCGCAAAGTACCTCCTTTGATGTTTTAAAGACTATTTCTTCAATAAAGTGATTTAATAAGGAAATGTCTAATTGTAAAAGCAAGTGTAGTGATCAACAAAGTAAGCAAGCGAATATATAAAGACAATCTAAGATGCAATTTTAATACTTAAATAAAGAGATTAAGGTTAGAGAAATTGCAAACTAGATGTATCCTGGTTCGGTCACCACCACCGTGACCTACGTCCAGACTGAAGCCGTTCGATCAATTCTTTTCACTAACTATCAAGCTTGAGGGTGCTTGACAAACCACTACAACTTTTCAAGACTTCGGGCTCTTGATGCCTTACACTTTTTCACTTCAAATTTTCTTAGGAATTTGGTGACCTTTCAAGTGTGTAGGGTTCACTCCCTTAGCTACTCAAGTAATCAAGGAAGGTGTTTAATAATGGCTAAGTACTCTCAAAGTACAAATAACACAAGTTGAAGAACAATGGTATATGACACTCTCACAAGAATAAAGCTCAAATAGAATTTATGATCAAGAAGACAAGAATAATGCAAATAGGATGAGAATTAATGAGTAATGATGATCAATAAGTGTGTCCCATCAATGGGAACAATAATCTCTATTTATAGAAGGCCCCCATGGCCTTTTTCCTACTCATTTTCGCAAACTAGCTGTTTTATAGCCGTTATTTTTGTCTCTGTACAGTAGGTAATTGATTACCATTGAGTGGGTAATCGATTACCAAGAAGGGTAATCGATTACCATTATTTGGTAATCGATTAACAACCTGTTGAAAGGTTGGTTTTCGCCCTAAAATGGTTTTCTCTTGATTCACATCATTTTCAAATATTGTTTAAACATTTTATGAACATTGAAAAGTATGTTTTCATGTTGAGAATGTATTTGAATGTCAAACGATGATTTAATGCATGTATTTAAAAAATACTTTGAGCTTCGTTCTTGTAAAGAATCAATTTACAAATAATCCTAAGTCCTACAGTATATTACTCTGAGTTTGGACTTAGAGACTTCTCTTGAAGCTTGAGTCTTGATATTGTTTAGACTTCTTTTTTATGGTTGCACCTTGAAGCTTTCTTTCCATGTTTGTTATCATCGAAATCGTTGAACCTTTATATTCTTTTCATAGAGTGCATTGGTTTCACATTTTGAACTTTATTACCAGTTAAGTATGGATATTACTATTAAAGGATATCTTAACAATGATTTTCCTTCTTCCTTTTTTTTTAAAAATGATTTGCCTTATCTTCCTAAGGAAAAATAAAACATATAACAATTAAGTTAAAATTCCAAATCACAAAATAATAAGAGCTACAATTAAAGATAAGAAACCATTATCTGCAACACTGAAATTGACCAAAATAGATAAATGAAGCCTAAACCAACACCACCAGAAACATCAGTTCTGATTCTTAAAAACAAAAAGAAAAAAAAACATCAATTTAAATCAGACTCGACATGACCCTAAATTAGATTATAGTCATTATACAAAATAAGTAGACCTCAATATCCGCCTTACAACGTTGACAAATCTTATTCCTAAGCATGTTATTAATCTCATTATTCTCCGATGAGGAAGGTTCATCCTTAATAAATCGCATTTCGCATATGCGAGGATTGCATATAGGGAATCCGTGATAAACCATCTCCCTGCGCACCCATAATGCCCTGATGAAAAGTCTAACACGTCGTCTGCAATGCCTCAAAATGTGGGCATCATCCAGCGTGCAAAAAAATTCAAAGCCCACAGCCCTCTGATCTTCATCAACACCAGCCATCAATATGATGGAACATGCGTACTTGGCTTCTTGGTGATCTTTCAGTGCTGCAGTCCTAATGCCTTCAAGGGCCACCGCTTGCATCTCCGAACTCGATGTTTCCCGAAAGTAATTGACCAAGCCCTCACGATACAATACTTCAGGATTGCCACACTCCCTACAACGCTGCAAAAAATATACTTGGCGTTTTCTTTTCAGAACTTGCAGTGGGTTGAAGAACGCATCATCTTCATCATCACCGATGACCCTCACTCGATGAAGAAAAGGTTTTGCATTGGTAACCCTTTCCAATGGCCCCACCGCAAATTTGTCCAACGAAACACGTTCGTAAACATAATCTGTCTCAACAAGTCGAAGAAACCCGATGCAAGTCAATTTGATGTTGGTTATATCTTCAATTGAATCATATGCAACCTTTCCAAAAATTAGCAACAACAAATCAGACGGCAGGGACACCAGGGACTCAACATCGATGATACCAGCCATCTTCATCCGCTTGTTAGACGACGTACCAACCATTTTTAGGGATTGGAAAATGAATAATATTTTCTGAATGAATTGTAATTGGAAGACGAGATCAGAATTTAAATACCCAACTGCACAATCAAGAGAGTGACACTGAGAATCAAAATTAGTATTGATTTTTTAGATTAAAATCGTATGTTGGGATGTATTTAGTAGTTATAAATGTTATTTTTTTTTGGAAAAGAAAGACAATTTTTGAATTCCACTAAATAAAGGTTAATAAAAATTCAAACTTTAAATTTTAAAAATAAGAAACAAAAATTTGAATTAAAACTACTTATTTTTTTCGATTGAAATAGTAGGTTGGGATGTTTTTAGTAGTTATAAATGTTATTTTTTTTGAAAATCCTGAGAATTTTTGAATTCCACTAAATCAAGGTTAATAAAAATTCAAACTTTAAATTTTAAAAATAAGAAACAAAAATTTGAATTAAAACTACTAATTTTTTTAGATTGAAATCGTAGGTTGAGATGTTTTTAGTAGTTACAAATGTGATTTTTTTGGAAAATCCTGAGAATTTTTGAATTCCACTAAATCAAGGTTAATAAAAATTCAAACTTTAAATTTTAAAAATAAGAAACAAAAATTTGAATTAAAACTACTAATTTTTTTAGATTGAAATCATAGGTTGGGATGTTTTTCGTAGTTATAAATGTGATTTTTTTTGGAAAATCCTGAGAATTTTTGAATTCCACTGAATCAAGGTTAATAAAAATTCAAACTTTAAATTTTAAAAATAAGAAACTAAAATTTGAATTAAAACTACTTATTTTTTTAGATTGAAATCGTAGGTTGGGATGTTTTTAGTAGTTATAAATGTGATTTTTTTGGAAAATCCTGAGAATTTTTGAATTCCACTGAATCAAGGTTAATAAAAATTCAAACTTTAAATTTTAAAAATAAGAAACAAAAATTTGAATTAAAACTACTTATTTCTTTAGATTGAAATCGTAGGTTGGGATGTTTTTCGTAGTTATAAATGTGATTTTTTTTGGAAAATCCTGAGAATTTTTGAATTCCACTGAATAAAGGTTAATAAAAATTCAAACTTTAAATTTTAAAAATAAGAAACAAAAATTTGAATTAAAACTACTTATTTTTTTATATTGAAATGGTAGGTTGGGATGTTTTTAGTAGTTATAAATGTGATTTTCTTGGAAAATCCTGAGAATTTTTGAATTCCACTGAATCAAGGTTAATAAAAATTCAAACTTTAAATTTTAAAAATAAGAAACAAAAATTTGAATTAAAACTACTTATTTTTTTAGATTGAAATCGTAGGTTGGGATGTTTTTCGTAGTTATAAATGTGATTTTTTTGGAAAATCCAGAGAATTTTTGGATTCCACTGAATCAAGGTTAATAAAAATTCAAACTTTAAATTTTAAAAATAAGAAACTAAAATTTGAATTAAAACTACTTATTTTTTTAGATTGAAATCGTAGGTTGAGATGTTTTTAGTAGTTATAAATGTGATTTTTTTGGAAAATCCTGAGAATTTTTGAATTCCACTGAATCAAGGTTAATAAAAATTCAAACTTTAAATTTTAAAAATAAGAAACTAAAATTTGAATTAAAACCATTTTTTTAGATTGAAATCGTAGGTTGGGATGTTTTTATAGTTATAAATGTGATTTTTTTTTGGAAAATCAAATTTTTGGTTAAATAAAAATTCAAACTTTAAATTTTAAAAATAAGAAACTAAAATTTGAATTAAAACTACTTATTTTTTTAGATTGAAATCGTAGGTTGGGATGTTTTTAGTAGTTATAAATGTGATTTTTTTTTGAAAAATCTTGAGAATTTTTGAATTCCACTGAATCAAGGTTAATAAAAATTCAAACGTTAAATTTTAAAAATAAGAAACAAAAATTTGAATTAAAACTACTTATTTTTTTAGATTGAAATCGTAGGTTGGGATGTTTTTAGTAGTTATAAATGTGATTTTTTTGGAAAATCCTGATAATTGTTGAATTCCACTGAATCAAGGTTAATAAAAATTCAAATTTTAAACTATAAAAATAAGAAACAAAATTTGAATTAAAACTACGTATTTTTTTAGATTGAAATCGTAGGTTGGGATGTTTTTAGTAGTTATAAATGTGATTTTTTTGGAAAATCCTGAGAATTTTTGAATTCCACTGAATTAAGGTTAATAAAAATTCAAACTTTAAATTTTAAAAATAAGAAACTAAAATTTGAATTAAAACTACTTATTTTTTTAGATTGAAATCGTAGGTTGGGATGTTTTTCGTAGTTATAAATGTGATTTTTTTGGAAAATCTTGAGAATTTTTGAATTCCACTGAATCAAGGTTAATAAAAATTCAAACTTTAAATTTTAAAAATAAGAAACAAAAATTTGAATTAAAACTACTTATTTTTTTAGATTGAAATCGTAGGTTGGGATGTGTTTAGTAGTTATAAATGTGATTTTTTTGGAAAATCCTTATAATTTTTGAATTCCACGGAATCAAGGTTAATAAAAATTCAAACATTACATTTTAAAAATAAGAAACAAAATTTGAATTAAAATTACTTTTTTTTTTAGATTGAAATCGTAGGTTGGGATGAATTTAGTAGTTATAAATGTGATTTTTTTGGAAATCCTGAGAATTTTTGAATTCCACTCAATCAAGGTTAATAAAAATTCAAACTTTAAATTTTAAAAATAAGAAACTAAAATTTGAATTAAAACTACTTATTTTTTTAGATTGAAATCGTAGGTTGAGATGTTTTTAGTAGTTATAAATGTGATTTTTTTGAAAAATCCTGAGAATTTTTGAATTCCACTGAATCAAGGTTAATAAAAAATCAAACTTTAAATTTTAAAAATAAGAAACAAAAATTTGAATTAAAACTACTTATTTTTTTAGATTGAAATCATAGGTTGGGATGTTTTTAGTAGTTATAAATGTGATTTTTTTGAAAAAATCTTGAGAATTTTTGAATTCCACTGAATCAAGGTTAATAAAAATTCAAACGTTAAATTTTAAAAATAAGAAACAAAAATTTGAATTAAAACTACTTATTTTTTTAGATTGAAATCGTAGGTTGAGATGTTTTTAGTAGTTATAAATGTGATTTTTTTGGAAAATCCTGATAATTGTTGAATTCCACTGAATCAAGGTTAATAAAAATTCAAATTTTAAATTTTAAAAATAAGAAACAAAATTTGAATTAAAACTACGTATTTTTTTAGATTGAAATCGTAGGTTGGGATGTTTTTAGTAGTTATAAATGTGATTTTTTTGGAAAATCCTGAGAATTTTTGAATTCCACTGAATCAAGGTTAATAAAAATTCAAACTTTAAATTTTAAAAATAAGAAACTAAAATTTGAATTAAAACTACTTATTTTTTTAGATTGAAATCGTAGGTTGGGATGTTTTTCGTAGTTATAAATGTGATTTTTTTGGAAAATCTTGAGAATTTTTGAATTCCACTGAATCAAGGTTAATAAAAATTCAAACATTAAATTTTAAAAATAAGAAACAAAAATTTGAATTAAAACTACTTTTTTTTTAGATTGAAATCGTAGGTTGGGATGTTTTTAGTAGTTATAAATGTGATTTTTTTGGAAAATCCTGATAATTTTTGAATTCCACTGAATCAAGGTTAATAAAAATTCAAACTTTAAATTTTAAAAATAAGAAACAAAATTTGAATTAAAACTACTTTTTGTTTAGATTGAAATCGTAGGTTGGGATGAATTTAGTAGTTATAAATGTGATTTTTTTTGAAATCTTGAGAATTTTTGAATTCCACTGAATCAAGGTTAATAAAAATTGAAACTTTAAATTTTTAAAAAAAAAAATTGAATTAAAACTATTTATTTTTTTAGATTAAAATCGTAGGTTGGGATATTTTTAGTAGTTATAAATGTGATCTTTTTGGAATATCCAGAAATTTTGTGAATTCCACTGAATCAAGGTTAGTTAAAAATTCAAACTTTAAATTTTAAAAATAAGAAACAAAAATTTGAATAAAATTATTATTTCGTAGGTTAATAAAAATGATTTGAACTTTTAATAAATGTCAATTAAAAACCAACATTTCAAAATGTAACTCCAACAAAAAAATGCCACTTCAACATTTTGTTTCAATAACAACCAATTTTTTTGAATTCCATTCAATCAAGGTCAATAAAAATTCATATTTTAAATTTTAAAAGTAAGGATTAGGATTAGGATTCCATTGCAAAAAACAGTGTTTATCAATATATCAATATACATCACATAACATTATCATTGGCTGAACTCAACATAGCAAAACATCACAAAACGATATGAATATTTAATAAATGTCAAAATTAAAAAAAACTATTGCAACATTTCAAGATGTAACTCCAACAAAAAAACGTGACTTCAACATTTCTGTAAACATCTTGTCTCCAAGACACAAAATACCACTCTTCAGTCACAGTAGTCCAATCTACGGGGTATTCTCATCTGCTTCTGCATCAAATCTATTTAAAAAAAAGAAAGAAAAAAAATTCAATTATCAGCATTTTCACTATGTGTAAGCAAATGACATGGTTTGCACAATATATTACGAAAAGCAAAAGAATATATATGCCACGTGATTCATTTATAAATATAAATTATTTACCAAAAAAAAAATATATATAAATTAGAAAATACGTAACTCTTTTTCAAGCTTTATTTTTTTGGCTGTCCGGACAGCTGAAAAATTAAATTCTCCAGCAATGGAATCATGAGAATTGATCATTGGTGTCAACATCGTCAGAGAGATATCACCAACGTCAGCACTATCACAGGTCTGACTCTCAACATCCTATTTATTATTTCGTAAAATAAAAAAGGTACGTCAAGTATCGACTTTTGCATAACATCAATCTAAATTCAAATAATGGGTTACCGCAGCCTTTTCTGGTTCTAATGATACAATTTCATTTTCGCGTGCTGTAACACCCCGTGTATACCCGGATTGTTATCATGTCATCGTATTAAGCCACACTTAATTAAAAATGCAG